TAATTAGGACTTGTGATCAACCCTTCAACCCCCAACCCCTCCCCCCCACCCCACAGCTGTCAACATTGACCCAGAAATAATGACTTAAGTGAAAGGCTTCACAAACCACGTTCAAGAATCTTGGTCATTGTAGTAAAACAGTTTTATTATTTTATTTTTACTTTATTATATTTTTAATCTTTATTTTAATTAATTTGATTCATTTTCAGCCTTTAATTGTAAACTTGAACATCTCTTATTGGTACTTCTGAGTTCCTTTAATTCTCTGACATGTATGAAGTCAGAGATTTTTTTTTCAACATTGTGAGAATGTTGAATTTTTTTACAAATATGAGAGGTGTAGAGCGGGCTCTTGTGGTGACTCTACTTGAGGCAGCTCTATAACCTCCTCTTGCTTCTCAGAATTATAGTATTGTTGATGAATTGTTCAATTTTAAAGTCAATTTGCTTCAATTTTGGTTCTGTCCATTTATAGAACTCACGATAATTTGAACTTGTTATCTGTGAAATGATAAGAAAAATTAGATTGCTTAAAACAACATGTTTGGCTCTTTTTTGTTTTATATATATATATATATATATATATATATATATATATATATATATATATATATATATATATATATATATATATATATATATATATATATATCACAATGGTCGGGGGTAATAGTATTTAGTATTTTATTAATTTGGGTCATCGCTGACTCGAACAAGGGTCTCAAAAGATGAGCAGTACAGTGAGTGTACACAGGACCAGGCACAGTACCAACAGTGACTGTACACAGGACCAGGCACAGTACCAACAGTGACTGTTCACAGGACCAGGCACAGTACCAACAGTGACTGTACACAGGACCAGGCACAGTACCAACAGTGACTGTACACAGGACCAGGCACAGTACCAACAGTGACTGTACACAGGACCAGGCACAGTACCAACAGTGACTGTACACAGGACCAGGCACAGTACCAACAGTGACTGTACACAGGACCAGGCACAGTACCAACAGTGACTGTACACAGGACCAGGCACAGTACCAACAATGACTGTTCACAGGACCAGGCACAGTACCAACAGTGACTGTACACAGGACCAGGCACAGTACCAACAGTGACTGTACACAGGACCAGGCACAGTACCAACAGTGACTGTACGCAGGACCAGGCACAGTACCAACAATGACTGTTCACAGGACCAGGCACAGTACCAACAGTGACTGTACACAGGACCAGGCACAGTACCAACAGTGACTGTACACAGGACCAGGCACAGTACCAACAGTGACTGTACACAGGACCAGGCACAGTACCAACAATGACTGTTCACAGGACCAGGCACAGTACCAACAGTGACTGTACACAGGACCAGGCACAGTACCAACAATGACTGTTCACAGGACCAACAGTGAGTCTACACAGGACCAGGCACAGTACCAACAGTGAATGCTACACAGGACCAGGCACAGTACCAACAGTGAGTCTACACAGGACCAGGCACAGTACCAACTGTGAATGCTACACAGGACCAGGCACAGTACCAACTGTGAATGCTACACAGGACCAGGCACAGTACCAACTGTGAATGCAACACCACCACGAATAAAAATCTTTTTGCACAAGTTCAACTCGGACAGAATTTCTAAACTGACCTCTGGAAAATAAGTTTAAATATCAGAGTCTCTAAGTTGTGAACTTGGAATGAAAAGGTTGGTAGGAAAGTTGGTCAGTTCAGAGGCTGGTGTGGCGAGGGACAGGTAGCTAGCTGCCTGAAGGTCTCAAAGTGTATTGGGTCTTAGGTGATGTCACTTGCATTGGTTGGTACAGGGATAGCCTCGCTTCTTACGGGGTCTGGGTTCCATGCCCGTGGTATCTTGACTACCTGAGACGTGACTCAAGCCTTTCTGGCAAGAAATCTCTAGATACGATGTGGAACTGAACTAGCTTTCCAGGTCAAGCTACCTGACTTGATTGACAGTTGAGAGGCGGGACCAAAGAGCTGAAGCTCAGACAGGCTTTACGTTTGCTGTGTCTTCCGGTTTTGGTAACAATTTCAACTAATAATAGTAAGCCTTAATATTTTTATTAAGGTTTAAAAGGTTTTTAAACTTTTTACAAAGTACCCGATGTTATTTATTTAGAAATTTTTACCAGTGACAGAGAGAGTTGGGCGTGTGTGTGTGTGTGTGTGTGTGTGTGTGTGTGTGTGTGTGTGTGTGTGTGTGTGTGTGTGTGTGTGTGTGTGTGTGTGTGTGTGTGTGTGTGTGTGTACTCACCTATTTGTGCTTGCGGGGGTTGAGCTTTGGCTCTTTGGTCCCGCCTCTCAACTGTCAATCAACTGGTGTACAGATTCCTGAGCCCAGATTCCTGTGTGTGTGTGTGTGTACTCACCTATTTGTACTCACCTATTTGTGCTTGCAGGATCGAGCATTGACTCTTGGATCCCGCCTTTCTAGCTATCGGTTGTTTACAGCAATGACTCCTGTCCCATTTCCCTATCATACCTAGTTTTAAAAGTATGAATAGTATTTGCTTCCACAACCTGTTCCCCAAGTGCATTCCATTTTTCCACTACTCTCACGCTAAAAGAAAACTTCATAACATCTCTGTGACTCATCTGAGTTTCCAGTTTCCACCCATGTCCCCTCGTTCTGTTATTATTACGTGTGAACATTTCATCTATTTCCACTTTGTCATTTCCCCTGAGTATTTTATATGTCCCTATCATATCTCCTCTCTCCCTTCTTTTCTCTAGTGTCGTAAGGTTCAGTTCCTTCAGCCGCTCTTCATATCCCATCCCTCGTAACTCTGGGACAAGCCTCGTCGCAAACCTCTGAACCTTGTCCAGATTCTTTATGTGTTTCTTCAGGTGGGGGCTCCATGATGGCGCGGCATACTCTAAGACGGGTCTCACGTAGGCAGTGTAAAGCGCCCTAAAAGCCTCCTCATTTAGGTTTCTGAATGAAGTTCTAATTTTCGCCAGTGTAGAGTACGCTGCTGTCGTTATCCTATTTATATGTGCCTCAGGAGTTAGATTAGGTGTCACATCCACTCCCAGGTCTCTTTCTCGAATCGTTACAGGTAGGCTGTTCCCCTTCATTGTGTACTGTCCCTTTGGTCTCCTGTCACCTGATCCCATTTCCATAACTTTACATTTACTGGTGTTAAACTCCAGTAGCCATTTCCCTGACCATCTCTGCAGCCTGTTTAAGTCCTCTTGGAGGATCCTACAATCCTCGTCTGTCACAACTCTTCTCATTAATTTTGCGTCATCCGCAAACATTGACATGTATGATTCCACTCCTGTAAACATATCATTTACGTAAATTAGAAAGAGGATTGGTCCCAGCACCGATCCTTGAGGTACTCCACTTGTTACTGTTCGCCAGTCCGACTTTTCGCCCCTTACCATTACCCTCTGGCTCCTTCCTGTTAGGTAGTTCTTCACCCATACTAGGGCCTTTCCGCTTACTCCTGCCTACCTCTCAAGTTTGTATAGCAGTCTCATGTGCGGTACCGTATCAAAGGCCTTTTGGCAGTCAAGAAATATGCAGTCTGCTCAGCATTCTCTGTCCTCTGTGTGTGTGTGTGCGTGTGTGTGCGCGTGTGTGCGTGTGTAGGAGTGTGTTGCCTGTGGTCTTAATATCCCTGAACACTGTCAGTAGCCTCAACAAGAGACTGTGGTGACGACAATTCATGCATATTCAACCAGTTATCTGAGCGCCACCATGGCCTTGTTGCACGCCATGCATGCACGCAAGCAGTCACAGTCTGTTTGACCTCCCCGGGCCTGTGTGACACAACGTCTATAATACCTTACTTTATAACCGCTAATCTAGTGTGTGTATACACCACAAAACCACTTAACAGAACCACTTAACAGAGGCACTTAAGATAACCACACACACACACACTTCAACTCAATTCATAAACACTCAACAATATTGCATTAATAGATTGCAACATGCACATTATTTTCATTACAACTACATCATACATTAAATCAAATAATAATACATCAAAATTTATAATAAATTGGCATGCACAGTATTGTATTATTGTAATGATGATCCTGGAATTGCATGGATTGTTCTCAATGCTGTTGCACTGTTTTTTTTATTTGTTAGTTAATTTCAACTTTCGTTCATGTGCTAATTCAATGGACGTTTTGTACATTTTGATACATTTTATACAGATTCGTTCATCAGAATCTGAACGATTCGTATTTTTGTTGGTATGTATATTTTTTGGTATTTATATTATGAAAAATTGTATATTTTTGTGTGTGGTGAGTCTACATGATGAGTCCTTGTCACACCTCACCACTAACTACCCACACCTCACCACTAACTACCCACACCTCACCACTAACTACCCACACCTCACCACTAACTACCCACACCTCACCACTAACTACCCACACCTCACCACTAACCACCCACACCTCACCACTAACTACCCACACCTCACCACTAACCATCCACACCTCACCACTAACTACCCACACCTCACCACTAACTACCCACACCTCACCACTAACTACCCACACCTCACCACTAACTACCCACACCTCACCACTAACTACCCACACCTCACCACTAACTACCCACACCTCACCACTAACTACCCACACCTCACCACTAACCATCCACACCTCACCACTAACTACCCACACCTCACCACTAACTACCCACACCTCACCACTAACCATCCACACCTCACCACTAACTACCCACACCTCACCACTAACCACCCACACCTCACCACTAACCACCCACACCTCACCACTAACCACCCACACCTCACCACTAACCATCCACACCTCACCACTAACTACCCACACCTCACCACTAACTACCCACACCTCACCACTAACCACCCACACCTCACCACTAACCACCCACACCTCACCACTAACCACCCACACCTCACCACTAACCACCCACACCTCACCACCCACACCTCACCACTCACCACTAACCACGCGTGTACTCCAGCAGCAGTAACGGAGAGGGGCGTGGAGGAGCCACTCAGGACGCCCACACTGCCAGTGCGGCTGGTGACGGGGGTGGCCGGGGTGCCCGCACAGCTCCCGTGCCTGCTGGAGCAGGGGCACCACGCCGACGCCCCCGTACTGGTGCTATGGTACAAGGATGGTGCCCGCTTTCCCTTCTACACGTGAGTACATTCATAGAAGCCGTTTTGGCTAGGTTAACACTCGTATCTTCATTTCCTGCAGGTCGGCGTTCAATCCCCGATCGCCCACATGTGGTTGGGTACCATTCCTTTCCCTCCGTCCCATCCCAAATCCTTATCCTGACCCCTTCCCAGGGCTATATAGTCGTAATGGCTTGGCGCTTTTCCCAGATAATTAACAACAAATTACTCTTAGCATATATGTATGTTATCATTTGTTACCCCTTTGTTGAGTGACGTTTTCTGTGGAACGAGGCCATTGGGGTCCCTAACTACTCCTCTTAGGCTGAACCTCCACCGATAACATACCTAGGGCCAGATTCACGAAGTAGTTACGCAAGTACTTACGAAAGTGTACATCTTTCCTCGATCTTTGACGGCTTTGTTTACATTTATTAAACAGTTTACAAGCATGAAAACTTGCCAATCAACAGTTGTTATTGTTATAAACAGCCTCCTGGTGCTTCGGAGCTCATTAACTGTTTAATAACTGTAAACAAAGCCGCCAAAGATTGAGAAAAGATGTACAGGTTCGTAAGTGTTTGCGTAACTGCTTCGTGAATCTTGCCCCTGGTTCTTTCACACCCCTGAGAACCGCAGGCAAGAGGACAGGTCTGAACGGGAGAGAACTTCTCACACCACAGCTGCTGCTTTCTTCACTCTCTGACTGGATATGATCCCGTCGTACCAGATACTCGGGAAATTGATGAAGCGAATAGGCAGTGCTTGTATTAATTGAGGGGCCAGTGGACATTGATGGAAGGTGAATAGTGAGGTGAATAAACTCATAACAATGTATGTGTAGTATGTATGTGTAGTGTGTATGTGTGGTGTGTATGTGTAGTGTGTATGTGTAGTGTGTATGTGTGGTGTGTATGTGTAGTGTGTATGTGTGGTGTGTATGTGTGGTGTGTATGTGTGGTGTGTATGTGTGGTGTGTATGTGTGGTGTGTATGTGTGGTGTGTATGTGTGGTGTGTATGTGTAGTGTGTATGTGTAGTGTGTATGTGTGGTGTGTATGTGTAGTGTGTATGTGTGGTGTGTATGTGTAGTGTGTATGTGTGGTGTGTATGTGTGGTGTGTATGTGTAGTGTGTATGTGTGGTGTGTATGTGTAGTGTGTATGTGTGGTGTGTATGTGTGGTGTGTATGTGTGGTGTGTATGTGTGGTGTGTATGTGTGGGGTGTATTTGTGGTGTGTATGTGTGGTGTGTATGTGTGGTGTGTATGTGTAGTGTGTATGTGTGGTGTGTATGTGTGGTGTGTATGTGTGGTGTGTATGTGTGGTGTGTATGTGTAGTGTGTATGTGTGGTGTGTGTGTGTGGTGTGTATGTGTGGTGTGTGTATGTGTGGTGTGTATGTGTGGTGTGTATGTGTAGTGTGTATGTGTGGTGTGTGTATGTAGTGTGTATGTGTGGTGTGTATGTGTGGTGTGTATGTGTGGTGTGTATGTGTAGTGTGTATGTGTAGTGTGTATGTGTGGTGTGTATGTGTGGTGTGTATGTGTAATGTGTATGTGTAGCGTGTATGTGTAGTGTACACAGGGAAGGGGGAGGGTTGGGTAGAGGGAAGAGATAGGAGGGGGAGCAGCCCTCCCTACACCTGTGTACCCCTAAGGGAGGGAGGGAGGAAGGGGAGTGGCACCCTCTCCCTTTCCCTTCCAAAGGGGAGAGGAAGGGAGAGATAAGATAATTGGAGAAGTAGCGGCAGAAAACGAAGGTAGAGAGGGTGAGGTAAACTAATTTGAGGCCGCGCGCTCTCATCCAACAGTTGAACCATGGAAATGGTGCTAATCCTCCAGTGGTGGCCCTTGGTGCTGGGTCACACTCAATACTGGCGCTCAAGGGCGCTGGGTCACACTCAATACTGGCGCTCAAGGGCGCTGGGTCACACTACTGGCGCTCAAGGGCGCTGGGTCACACTCAATACTGGCGTTCAAGGGCGCTGGGTCACACTCAATACTAGCGCTCAAGGGCGCTGGGTCACACTACTAGCGCTCAAGGGCGCTGGGTCACACTCAATACTAGCGCTCAAGGGCGCTGGGTCACACTCCTAGCGCTCAAGGGCGCTGGGTCACAATACTAGCGCTCAAGGGCGTTGGGTCACACTCAATACTGGCGCTCAAGGGCGCTGGGTCACACTCAATACTAGCGCTCAAGGGCGCTGGGTCACACTCCTAGCGCTCAAGGGCGCTGGGTCACACTCAAAACTTCCCAGGTGCTTGGTAAACATCCCAGCTACTTGGCAAACTTCCCAGGTGCTTGGTAAACTTCCCAGGTGCTTGGTAAACTTCCCAGGTGCTTGGTAAACTTCCCAGGTGCTTGGTAAACTTCCCAGGTGCTTGGTAAACTTCCCAGGAGCTTGGTAAACTTCCCAGGTGCTTGGTAAACTTCCCATGTGCTTGGTAAACTTCCCATGTGCTTGGTAAACTTCCCATGTGCTTGGTAAACTTCCCATGTGCTTGGCAAACTTCCCAGGTGCTTGGTAAACTTCCCATGTGCTTGGCAAACTTCCCAGGTGCTTGGTAAACTTCCCAGGTGCTTGGTAAACTTCCCAGGTGCTTGGTAAACTTCCCAGATGCTTGGTAAACTTCCCAGGTGCTTGGCAAACTTCCCATGTGCTTGGAAAACTTCCCAGGTGCTTGGTAAACTTCCCAGCTACTTGGTAAAGTTCCCAGGTGCTTGGTAAACTTCGCAAATGCTTGATAAACTTCCGAGGTGCTTGGTAAACTTACCAGGTCTTGGTAAACTTCCCAGCTACTTGGCAAACTTTCCAGTAATTTGGAGAACTTCTCTTATATTCTCAAAGTTATTTGGAAAACTTGACAGATATTCGGCAAACTTTCCAACTCACATTTTCAAGCTGAGATTCCTTCCTCCTCGTGAGGTCAAGTGCAGAGTGGCTTGCTGTTGCTTCTGTAGCGCTGGTGAGATGTATACTGATGTAGGGGGTGTCTCTGGGGCCGTAGGGAGATGTATACTGATGTAGGGGGTGTCTCTGGGGCCGCAGGGAGATGTATACTGATGTAGGGGGTGTCTCTGTGGCCGCAGGGAGATGTATACTGATGTAGGAAGTGTCTCTGTGGCCGCAGGGAGATGTATACTGATGTAGGAGGTGTCTCTGCGGCCGTAGTGAGATGTATACTGATGTAGGGGGTGTCTCTGGGGCCGCAGGGAGATGTATACTGATGTATGAGGTGTCTCTGCGGCCGTAGGGAGATGTATACTGATGAAGGTGTCTCTGGGGCCGTAGGGAGATGTATACTGATGAAGGTGTCTCTGGGGCCGCAGGGAGATGTATACTGATGAAGGGGGTGTCTCTGGGGCCGCAGGGAGATGTATACTGATGTAGGGGGTGTCTCTGTGGCCGCAGGGAGATGTATACTGATGTAGGAGGTGTCTCTGTGGCCGCAGGGAGATGTATACTGATGTAGGAGGTGTCTCTGCGGCCGTAGGGAGATGTATACTGATGTAGGGGGTGTCTCTGGGGCCGCAGGGAGATGTATACTGATGTATGAGGTGTCTCTGCGGCCGTAGGGAGATGTATACTGATGAAGGTGTCTCTGGGGCCGTAGGGAGATGTATACTGATGAAGGTGTCTCTGGGGCCGTAGGGAGATGTATACTGATGAAGGTGTCTCTGGGGCCGCAGGGAGATGTATACTGATGTAGGGGGTGTCTCTGGGGCCGCAGGGAGATGTATACTGATGTATGAGGTGTCTCTGGGGCCGCAGGGAGATGTATACTGATGTAGGGGGTGTCTCTGTGGCCGCAGGGAGATGTATACTGATGTAGGAGGTGTCTCTGCGGCCGTAGGGAGATGTATACTGATGAAGGTGTCTCTGGGGCCGCAGGGAGATGTATACTGATGTAGGGGGTGTCTCTGGGGCCGTAGGGAGATGTATACTGATGAAGGTGTCTCTGGGGCCGCAGGGAGATGTATACTGATGTATGAGGTGTCTCTGGGGCCGCAGGGAGATGTATACTGATGAAGGTGTCTCTGTGGCCGCAGGGAGATGTATACTGATGTAGGGGGTGTCTCTGGGGCCGCAGGGAGATGTATACTGATGTAGGAGGTGTCTCTGGGGCCGCAGGGAGATGTATACTGATGTAGGGGGTGTCTCTGGGGCCGTAGGGAGATGTATACTGATGTAGGTGTCTCTGGGGCCGTAGGGAGATGTATACTGATGTAGGTGTCTCTGAGGCCGTAGGGAGATGTATACTGATGTAGAAGGTGTCTCTGGGGCCGCAGGGAGATGTATACTGATGTAGAAGGTGTCTCTGGGGCCGCAGGGAGATGTATACTGATGTAGGTGTCTCTGGGGCCGCAGGGAGATGTATACTGATGTAGGGGGTGTCTCTGGGGCCGTAGGGAGATGTATACTGATGTAGGTGTCTCTGGGGCCGTAGGGAGATGTATACTGATATAGGGGGTGTCTCTGGGGCCGCAGGGAGATGTATACTGATGTAGGGGGTGTCTCTGGGGCCGTAGGGAGATGTATACTGATGTAGGTGTCTCTGGGGCCGTAGGGAGATGTATACTGATGTAGGGGGTGTCTCTGGGGCCGTAGGGAGATGTATACTGATGTAGAAGGTGTCTCTGGGGCCGTAGGGAGATGTATACTGATGTAGAAGGTGTCTCTGGGGCCGCAGGGAGATGTATACTGATGTAGAAGGTGTCTCTGGGGCCGCAGGGAGATGTATACTGATGTAGAAGGTGTCTCTGGGGCCGTAGGGAGATGTATACTGATGTAGAAGGTGTCTCTGGGGCCGCAGGGAGATGTATACTGATGTAGAAGGTGTCTCTGGGGCCGCAGGGAGATGTATACTGATGTAGAAGGTGTCTCTGGGGCCGCAGGGAGATGTATACTGATGAAGATCAAATGTAAAACTCAGAGAGCCAGCAGCTTCACGCTCGATAAGCCACAATGTAGGACAGAAAACAGGTGATGAATTCCTCTTCCTCCACAGAAGGTTGTAAACC